AGATATATAGCAGTAATACAGGAATTTAGACAACCGGACACCCGTGAAGTAAGAAACATAGCCGAGAAATCTTGTAGTGTTGAATTAGTGTACATATATAAAAGAGCAAAGTAACCAACGATCAAACTTGTCACTTTTAAAACCAGCCAACGAGGAAAAGTGATAGTTTTTGTGTTTACTTTTCAACAAAAATACTGAATTCACACCGCAGTCCGTATTGTCAGTACAATTGTAATTACAATTATATATAGCAGTAATACAGGAATGTAGACAACCCGACACCCGAGAAGAAACATAGCCGAGAAATCTTGTAGTGTTGAAGTAGTGTACATATATAAAAGAGCAAATTAACCAACGATCAAACTTGTCACTTTTAAAACAAACCAACGAGGAAAAGTGATAGTTTTTGTGTTTACTTTTTAACAAAAATACTGAATTCACACCGAAGGCCGTATTGTCATTACAATTGACCAGAGATATATAGCAGTACTACAGGAATATAGACAACCTGACACCCGTGAAGTAAGAAACATAGCCGAGAAATCTTGTAGTGTTGAAGTAGTGTACATATTTAGAAGAGTAAAGTAACCAACGATCAAACTTGTCACTTTTAAACCCAACCAACGAGGAAAAGTGATAGTTTTTGTGTTTACTTTTCAACAAAAATACTGAATTCACACCGAAGTCCGTATTGTCAGTACAATTGACCAGAGATATATAGCAGTAATACAGGGAATTTAGACAACCGGACACCCGTGAATAAGAAACATAGCCGAGAAATCTTGTAGTGTTGAAGTAGTACATATATAAAAAGCAAAGTAACCAAACTTGTCACTTTTAAAACCAACCAACGAGGAAAAGTGATAGTTTTTGTGTTTACTTTTCAACAAAAATACTCAATTAACACCGAAGTCCGTATTGTCACTACAATTGACCAGAGATATATAGCAGTAATACAGGAATTTAGACAACCGGACACCCGTGAAGTAAGAAACATAGCCGAGAAATCTTGTAGTGTTGAATTAGTGTACATATATAAAAGAGCAAAGTAACCAACGATCAAACTTGTCACTTTTAAAACCAGCCAACGAGGAAAAGTGATAGTTTTTGTGTTTACTTTTCAACAAAAATACTGAATTCACACCGCAGTCCGTATTGTCAGTACAATTGTAATTACAATTATATAGCAGTAATACAGGAATGTAGACAACCCGACACCCGAGAAGAAACATAGCCGAGAAATTGTACAGTGTTGAAGTAGTGTACATATATAAAAGAGCAAATTAACCAACGATCAAACTTGTCACTTTTAAAACCAACCAACGAGGAAAAGTGATAGTTTTTGTGTTTACTTTTTAACAAAAATACTGAATTCACACCGAAGGCCGTATTGTCATTACAATTGACCAGAGATATATAGCAGTACTACAGGAATATAGACAACCTGACACCCGTGAAGTAAGAAACATAGCCGAGAAATCTTGTAGTGTTGAAGTAGTGTACATATTTAGAAGAGTAAAGAAACCAACGATCAAACTTGTCACTTTTAAAACCAACCAACGAGGAAAAGTGATAGTTTTTGTGTTTACTTTTTAACAAAAATACTGAATTCACACCGAAGGCCGTATTGTCATTACAATTGACCAGAGATATATAGCAGTACTACAGGAATATAGACAACCTGACACCCGTGAAGTAAGAAACATAGCCGAGAAATCTTGTAGTGTTGAAGAAGTGTACATATTTAGAAGAGCAAAGTAACCAACGATCAAACTTGTCACTTTTAAACCCAACCAACGAGGAAAAGTGATAGTTTTTGTGTTTACTTTTCAACAAAAATACTCAATTAACACCGAAGTCCGTATTGTCACTACAATTGACCAGAGATATATAGCAGTAATACAGGAATTTAGACAACCGGACACCCGTGAAGTAAGAAACATAGCCGAGAAATCTTGTAGTGTTGAATTAGTGTACATATATAAAAGAGCAAAGTAACCAACGATCAAACTTGTCACTTTTAAAACCAGCCAACGAGGAAAAGTGATAGTTTTTGTGTTTACTTTTCAACAAAAATACTGAATTCACACCGCAGTCCGTATTGTCAGTACAATTGTAATTACAATTATATAGCAGTAATACAGGAATGTAGACAACCCGACACCCGAGAAGAAACATAGCCGAGAAATCTTGTAGTGTTGAAGTAGTGTACATATATAAAAGAGCAAATTAACCAACGATCAAACTTGTCACTTTTAAAACAAACCAACGAGGAAAAGTGATAGTTTTTGTGTTTACTTTTTAACAAAAATACTGAATTCACACCGAAGGCCGTATTGTCATTACAATTGACCAGAGATATATAGCAGTACTACAGGAATATAGACAACCTGACACCCGTGAAGTAAGAAACATAGCCGAGAAATCTTGTAGTGTTGAAGTAGTGTACATATTTAGAAGAGTAAAGTAACCAACGATCAAACTTGTCACTTTTAAAACC